AGTGCAGCTTCCTAAAGATTGCACTGAAATGGATGGGGTGTTTCATCATAACAACTTTCCACAGTGTTGGCATACCACGTTCATTTTCAACCTCAATTCAGATCATTTAGCATGATGGTGGCTCCAAATGGCTTTCACTAGTAGAAAATTAGATCTTCGCTATTTAAACTTTACCAACCCAAGCCTATGGGCTACGTGAAAATGAACAAAACCAGCCTGAAGATGGTGTTAAATACTCAGTTTAGGATTCAACCCTTGGTGAAGATGATAAAATACATTCAGATATAAACACAGTGTTGAGATTTAGGATTAAAGTATATTTACTCAAGTACTTCAAGTACCTTTTTGGAGGACTTTTGCTTTACTTGAGAATTTGTGTGCACCTTTATGCCTTTACTTCACTGCAGCATATACACAGCAGCAGACAGCCTCTCTATATACACACAATGTATCTCTATATTCTACACCGTTGTACTGGCACTTTTACTTACGTAGAAGGTCTGAGTACTTCTTCCACCGTTGCATGTAGAAGCACACACTTACACACTCATAGGTAAATTGGATGGGGAATATGAAATTGAACTGTAACCAAGCCGTGCCATTTGCTCCATCGACACATAGAGGTGTCCCATTACCTCTCCCACCAAAAGTCAGGAGAGAACTCGCCGGCACGAAAGAGCTTGGAGTGATTTCCAAAGTGATGCTGCCTACAGACTGGTGTGCAAGAATAGTTCCTGTACTAAAACCTGATGACCCAGAGGTTCTACTATGTGTAGACCTGACAAAGTTGACCACTAAGTCAACAGAGAGGGACATGTGCGTTCATCAGGGGATCACACTCCTGGAGGGCGCCAAAGTATTCTCTAAACCGGACACAAGTTTGGCGTTTTGGCAAATCCACTTTGCAAAAATATATTCATTGCTCCATTTGGGAGATATTGCTTTAGCATCTACACTGCACCAGAACATTTCCAAAAGAGAATGTCTCAGCTGCAGAAAAGCCGAGACAAAGTAGTTTTCCAGATGGATGATGCAAAACCAAAGGCTCAGCACGACGTGGGATGAATGGCAGTGTTAAAGTGACTGGACCAAGCAAGTGCAACGCTGAAAAGTGAACGTGTGAATTCCTCAAAACCTCTTTCAAGTTTCTGCTACAGATCAACAACAAGGTGAGAGCTGTCACCAACACAGAGGAGCCCACTAATGTGAGTGGGGTGAGAAGGCTTCCGGGGATGATTAATCATATCGACAAATACCCCCTTACCCGAGCAGAGAAGATGGTTACCGAGGGAGTGCAAAGAACATTTGCATCTGGGAAAATGTATAACGCAGGGTTTTTGACGGCATCAAACGAGAATTGAGCGAACCACCAGGTTTGGCGCTTTTCAATCCCAGGCCACAGACAATAGTCTCCGCTGATGCATCGGCGTATGGACTGAGAGCTCCAGAAACGAGAGGATGGCACATGGAAACCAGGTGCCTGATTCAACAACACGGAACAAAGATCTGCTGCAATAAAGAAGGAGGCTTTTAACCATTGAGTGATTCTCAGACTTGATTTGGCTTCTTCCCCTTCTGGGATCAAAGAACTTGAACGAGACTGATGAGATACTCATACTCTGCTGCACACGTTCCAGGACAGAACATTGTAACTGTCAGCCATTGTCGTCCTCAGCGCAAAAAAGGGCTGCAGGTGAAAAAAAACTAGAGACGGAAATTAAACGTTATGCGTGATGACAGAGCAAAAAATGCAACAAATCGGTGAGGAAACAGGTGAAGCAGTACTGTTTTAGCAGTTGGCCTGACACATTTAGCATAAAGTGGCCGTGTACCTTCAGCATGCTGGGAATCTGACAGATGATAATAGCTTGCTGCTAAAAGGCACGCAACTATTCCTAAGTCACTGCAAAAGGGGATTTTTGGGAGAGCTGCACATTTGTCACCAGGGCATAGCAAAATGTAGAGAGCAAGTGAAACAGTCTGGTGGCCTGGACTAATCACACAACTTCATAACATGGTGGAGGGAGTGTAACACCTGTGCAAAAGAACAGAACTACAGAGAAACACAACTGCATACTGAATATTCCCGACAAACCATGGGAAATGGTTGGTTCTGATGGAAACAACAGCCAGTGATCCGCAACTGTTTCTGTCATTTTTAATGTGAACACTATGAATGCCTTCATCCCCATTCGAACTAAATCACGTCTCCATCCCCCTCCATGATGGCGTCTTTCCTGTGAAGCCGTTCGTCACAGCTTTTGATTTCAGACATGGTCGGACAACACGTTGCACAAACTGGATCGTAAACTTACCCCGAGACAGTTCAACCACCTCTCTATCTGCCACTAATGGGGGTTTCAAACAGTCTGATTGAGTGGCGAAGGGGTCAATGAAGAATGCGTTTTGCAGCTGTTTTGCTTGTTTATAGAAACTACTATTGGAGATAAAGCTGCCTTACCTACAGGACAGGTTTCCCCTACATGTTGAACTGTGACTACTTTTAAATGGAAACATCAGACATGAATTTATGCAAATACAGGTAATTAACATAACTGGAGTATCTTGCCGAGCATAGCTTTTAGATGGTTTAAATAGCAGTGAAGGCTGTCCTGACCAGCATGTACAGCTAGCTACTAGCTCGTCACAGGAAGTGTGATAAACATCCAATACATCTTTCCTAAGTTTGTGTTATAAACCCATGAATATTGGCGGTGAAGATTAATGGCTGTATTCATTTCAACTGGATGCTGTTTTATTGAGGAGTTTATAGTGAAAAAAGGAAAACGTCCAACAGTATTTGATTGCCTATCGATTCAAATTGCGGAAAAGCTCCCTGACCTCTGATTGAATAATTGGGTGTCTGTTTACAGAAATGCCAAGCGCTGGAGGGAAGCTGCTCCTGCTCATCAAGTCGTCTGCATCCTGCGTTTCCACAACCTGAATTAGCCCACGGGGCCTGTGGAAGATGTATTTAAGATTCTAAAAGTAGGCTGTCTGAAATTATTACCATGTGCCTCCTGTGCTCCAGCACAATGAGCATGCTGGATTTGTTGTGGGTGGAAAGAAATAACTGGAACTAAATATTTACTCGCATGGCTCCCGGGCTGGTATCAAAGTGTCTGAAAATATTCTGCTGAGAGACGCGTTGCCTCTGTTATGTGGCGTAGATCCAGCTGCTGTCACATTTTTAGATCTAGTACCTCTCCGTCAGGTACAGGCTGCCCTGAACTGGATAGCGGACTGGGCTGCATTCAAGTCACCTGCCTGCACTGATTGGTTTGCCATTTTCAGGGCAGAGATAAGGGGGGGGGGGGAATAAGTAAGCAGAAACAAGACTGTGATCGCTTGTCAAAGCCTCTTATTGTTTTATTTCTGGCTTGATTCAGAGGCCCAATCTTTATCATATAGGCAACTTCAACAGCATGTCTTTCAGGGACATTGATATCTTATGAATTTAGTATACACCTGATCGTGAAAAGCCTTACCTCTGCAGCAATAAATCAGCGTATTGCCGTGCCTGCTGTTTTTTCTATGTGTACTCACTGCCTTCAGTATTGATTTGCTTCCCTTACAGACAAACTGTGCAGAGACAGGAGGTGCACATGTGTAAATGCACACAAACACACACACACACACACACACACACACACACAGGTATGCTTAAAACATTTAAATAAAAAGTAACTTGCAATGTAGTAATTTAAAGTCTTAATAGATATAAAAAAACATCATGTCGGCTCCGATAGTCGAGCCGTCTGTTGTACTCTCACGTGTACGCACACACCTCATTAACTTGTGGATGGTTCACTAAGCTGCTGCATACTGTATAACCACTAACTGCGGGCAGACAGGTTCTAATTGGTAACAAGGATATCAACAGCTGGACTGATACGGCTGGCTGGAGCCGCTCACTTTCCTCACGGAATGGGTCCGTCTGTCCAAATGCGCGCATCGACCAGAAATCCTGATTTATGACCTTAATCCCTCGACCTGCTGGATGAAGATTTCATTCATTCATAAAATGTATCCTTAAACATATGTAGGGCTACTCACATGCTAAATTAATAGCACTTCAGAGGAAATGGCAGTAACAATGGTCAGGAGCGTTCATTTACGCACAAATTTAACAGATAAGACCTATTGTGAACTTGAGGTTGAGGTGAACTTACTTCTAAAGTTGTTCCTGCTTTGTAGTGGACACAGTATTTCAAGGAGTGAATGATAGTGTGTGTGTGTTTATACGAAGCCCATCTGTTAAATCGCACTCTAAAACTCCCCAAAAAATGAGCTCCTAAATCAAAACAGCTGAAGACCTGCGTGTAGCGCGTATCGGCCAGTCTACAGAGACCACCTGATTGCTGCCTCCCGCACTTGAAATGTTGTGTGTGTCCTGTGGACTTTTGCAGTATATGTGTTTTGAATGGCGCTGATTAGCCATCGACCATCTGCTGGGCTGTGTGAGGAGAGCCGCTCATTATTTTGCCTGTTGTGTCTGCGTTGAAGACGTAGCTCCTCTACAGCTGTCGGGCAAAGCTGCAGGGACTCTTCTCGCGTGCGAGCAGCGGGGAGCAGCTGTTGGACGCAGTGTTACTGCACACAAGTGGCTAAGTTGTCGGCGTCTGTCTGACAGAGAATGAGCTTTCCTCTGGCTCCAACTGTGACAGTGCAAAATACATCTGCCTCGTGCCAAGTCTTAAAACTGAGATTGAAATGTAGCGCTTAATAAATAAAAGTTGTGAATCAATATGGCCCTAAAAAAAAAAAAAAAAAATGCTTTAAAGTGGTTTCCCATCATCGTGTTAGGATCATATCTAAAACGCTGTGTGTCCTTTGTGAAATAGAAAATCATCACCTGAAGGTCATCGCTCAACATCTTTTCGTAATACAGAGACCAGATCAGGCCTGTGGTGACAAATCATTTCTGCTGTTACCTGAAAGCTTTAAAGTTGATATTTTTTTTGCATCAAAGTAGTGTGATGTGTCATATTGTTTTTCAGGACCTGGTCGGCAGCGCTCCGCCGCAGAGGAACTGGAAAGGAATCGCCATTGCCCTGCTGGTCATCCTCATCATCTGTTCCCTGATTGTCACCTCCGTCATCCTGCTGACCCCTCGTATGTACAATACACACACACACACACACATATACACACACACACACACACACACACACACACACACACACACACACACATACATATTCCATAATTCAGAGCGTGCAATCCTCCAAGGATACACAACCCTCCTAACTGACATTTTTATTGTAGGAAGTGATTAGAAAATTTGTAATCTGTAGCGATTTTGCACTCCCTGATTTTTGCAAATTTAGCACACAAAACAAATCCTATATCCTCACCAAATACTAAAAATGTTTTTTCATCAAAATCTGTTACATTTTGGAAATATTTTGATAACAAACAAACAAATCAATATTTACTTAATAACACTCACTGTTCTCTGCCTCAGTATGTATGTATGTATGTATGTATGTATGTATGTATGTATGTATCCTACACATTAAATGAGAGCAAAACACTTTGGCCACCACAGATGGAACTCAGAAAACATACCTCTGCCACAATCCTCTTAACTGATTATTTTAACAGTATAAAATTGAAACGTGCATTTGATGAATGGATGGATTTTAAATAAATATAGTGTGAGAAAATCATTGGCTACAATGCGCCAGATTAAACCTCTTTCTTTCCCCTATTCTGATTTTTTTTTTTGCAGCCCATCATTTAAATACCTTGTTTCAAGGGGTCAAGGTTTCACAGATGATATGCGGTCTCCGGTTTGTGATTGTATACCGGTTTTACACAAAGGCGGAGTCAACGTCACACTAGGTAATAGGCCTTTTTATGTGTAATGCCATTCAGGCCTGTTTAATGGCGATGATTATGCAGTAATAGCTCCAGCCATTTGTCAGATTGGCACAGCATCAGAGATACCATTTGCCTCATTTTGGAAATTAGCTTTCTCCCCTCACTCTGCAGATTCTTGCAGGAGAGAATTTCTCCGATTTGTCAAGTCGATAAACACTTCACAACGTCTGACTTGATATTTACACAATCGGATCTCGCTGCTCAGTCACAACGCGAAGCCTGTTGAGGAATCTGTCAACGAACTGTTTTGTAGAGAAACACCGGGCTGTCAACCGTCTTGACAACTCCCGTCTGACGGTTGCTTCCTGAGTAAAGGTGTGGTAAAAAGACGGTTAAAGGGCTCGCCCACCTCTCTTTTCTCACATCCACACTGACTCACTTGTGTTCCCCTGCTGTCTGCTCCACCTACATTTCAGCTGTCAGCTTCAGATCTCATTTGGAGTTTTGGGGATGGAAGGAGTCGTGT